CCTTGTGAGCCCAAGTAAAATCCTGGTCTTGCATGCTCCTCTTCTCCCTTCCTCTCCTTCTCTCCCATGCAAATCAGGCGCATGCCTTTTCCCAGATCTTTCACCTGTGGTTTTTTTTTAAATCAAAGAGGCCAGGGATTAGCCTTGGGATCACAGACAGGAAAAAACATCTAATTCTTCCACTGAGCGATGACCCCACCCATTCTTGTCTGAAACCTGGAAAAATTGCAGCACATCACTTGCCAATACAGGTGAACAAACACAGCTGCATAAGACGGAGTTGATCCATTTAGCCCAGGACTGTCAACTCTGAGGATTTTTTTCCCCATAGGATTCTTTCCTAGCCCTATCTGAAGATAATCAGGTACTCCCTGGGGGTCCCCCAGCCAAGGAATAACCACACCCAAGCCTTCTTAGCTTCCAGAATCAGATCAAGTTGGGTGTACAGTATTTGGAGTGGTCTCGTAGTACGTATATAAAATACTCAGAAATGACTACAGGTGGAATCCTTTCCCACTTCCAATCATAACCTCACAATTCAAGAAGGACCCACACACATACACATACTAGGGAAGATAATGGAAAGAGGCCCAAGTCTCTCACCTTGGCAAAGCCAAAGTTGAAATTGATGGCTTTGGCATGACCGATGTGCAGGATGCCGTTGGGCTCCGGGGGGAACCTTGTGCGCACCTGGAGAACAACACATTTCTCAGGGTTAACCAGGATTCTTCCTTACATGCAGCGTATCCCCAATAAATAAAAAAGTGGCACAAAAACCCAGTCCTGTGCTAGCATAAACTCCTAAAACCAGATGTGATCCATCAGCAGGCTAGAGCCTTCTTGTTTTAGGAGCAATATCTGGCTCACAAAGCAGCTTTGACTGCCGTTGCCTTCCTTTCTCCAAAATAGCTTTCTTTCTCTCTTATGCACAAATACACACAGAGCTTTGAAAAGTCCCTTTTTGAATGACAGCTTCCAGATTCCTCCAGCCTGCATAGATCCATTGCTCGTGAGGACTGGGAAATTCTGGAAACTGGAAAAGTAACTGTTCTAAGATCTGGCATGAGGTGGACTGGAGCTTGAGAAGTGACTCCTTCCCCTGCCTCCAGAAGGCAAGAATATGCAAATAAGGGTCCAAGTGTTAGCACTAATCAAGGAACCACAGCCAAAGAGACAGAAACAAGGGGGGTGGAAATGATCTTCAAAAGCCCCAGAATCATGGGACTGGAGCTTGGGGAGCAAAGAAATATCATGGAACACTTAGCATGACTTAGAGATGTACTGCACTTGACTGACAGCAACTTTTCATCCCTACCCAGCAGTGAGTACTAACTACTCCAGGAAGGGGAGGATCATCTGCAGCAAAAAATGGATCTATCATGTCAAGTCCCAGTGTTTCTGTTTCCTGCAGATGTGATACACTGTGATTGTTTCAAATTATATACCACCCCATAATACTAGAACATTCTCCAGGTGGCTTATAATGCAATGATGCAAGCGAGCTGGGTATTCTTTTTACTAATCTTGGAAGGCTGGAGCCTGTCGGGATCAAACTCAAGTCTCGAGCAGAGGCCTGGCTGCAGTACTGCAGTTTAACCCCTGCACCATGAGACTTGTTTTTAATAGAAAAATGGTACCCACAACTGGAAGCTCCAGATTCTAACAGACCTCATACCAAAGTAATGGAGCAGAAGTGGTGAATGCTGTTTTTCCAGGCTATCTGGGCTCATCTATTACTACTCTTATCTTCAGTATGATAGAACCTACTGCCAGGATGCAGGCAGGGAACAATACAAGGGATAATCCAAGCCTCTGTATCTGGATGACAAATATGAAGATCCTCATGGCTGGCAATACTTCACAAACTCCATGAACCCAGGCTCCCCAGTAAAAAAAGAATACCAGTTTTTAGAGCACCTGTCCGCCCGTGATCTCCAGATGCTGCTTGAGCAGGTTCATGGTGTTGGGCGTGACAACATAGCCTTCAGTTTTGTAGTTCTCACCTGGGGAGCGAAGAAACATGCCAGCACCCAGATTAGCAAAGTACAAGTGGTGGCTGCAGAATTTTTCTGCACTGAAAATACCGTTTCCATGCCCAGTGGAAAAGAACTTAGTGTAACAAACCTGCAAACACATTATGTTAAGATATCTCTCTAATCTGTCTGTTCAATAGGCTGCAAAGTCTGTGGGGTTTAGCAAGTCGGTCTGGGATTTCTCAAGCTATCCTTTCCCTGATCCACCCCTTGACAGAGCTGTGTGCCATCGGCTGTGATCTGGTAACAACAGGAGCAACCCTCACCCGCCACAGAGATGCTCAGCATCAACTGCAAACTGGTAAGCAACTAAGAGAGAAATAAAAGGCTAACCAAGTCTCTATCCTCCAGCCGAAAAGAAGGCTGCCACTGTGCTGTTTGCTTTATCGTTAGGTGCAATGCATTGCTTAAATGTATGGGAATTTTGCCTGCTCTTATCATAAATTACTGGGAGGAAAATGTCCCAAGAAATAAATAAATAAATTGGTTCTTAACTCTCAACAGAGAGACATCGCTTCTTCTGGTGTGCCAAGCCAACTTTCATCTGCTTAAGGGCAGCCACCTTAGGTTCCCAGGGGGACTGAATTATTGAGGGAACTCCTTGGCAGAATCACAAAAATGACTGTCCAAGCACCCAATGCTACCTGGACACAGGCAAAAACCAGGTTTTTCAGGATAGCTTACCTGGCTTATGAAATTTGAGGGCTTCCCCCCTCAGCTGCTCCATGAGGGATTTTGTCTCTTGATAAACCTCACCTGTAAGGAAATGGTTTTAAGTCAAGACTTCACCAACATACAAGGCAGAAGAACAAGAAGCAGAAGAACAGCCCAGCCCCCCCTGTTTGCAGCAGTGACTCTTGTTTCCTTCTTTTTTTACCTTTAGCAGGGCTTTTTAGCAACTTCAGCTGCATCAAAATTTACACTCTTTGGGGCAAGGGCATGTCTTTTTTCCTTGTTGCTCTGTACATGGACAATATCACCACCGGCATTATAGTGTTAAGAATAGCTCGGAGAGCAGAAAGCTCATGCCAGAACTAAAAGCAAAGCTTCCAAAGGAAATCTCATGGCTCTTATATCCAATCATGTTCCAACACAAGCAACGTCACGGATCAGAAGCAGAGCTTTTCTGAACTACAGAAAGAACAAGGATAAGGCTGTGTGGTCCCCAAAATCACACAAATGTTAGGCTTGGTGATAACTTTTACTGGACCACTATATAAAATCATACAAATTGTTTTTGGAAGATTTTACTACATGTTTATGTACTACAACTTCCAGAATCCTCCAGGAAAATTGTTTTTGGAAGATTTTACTACATGTATATGTACTACTGTACAACTTCCAGAATCCGCCAGGGAGCATGAAGTGTCCACCCTGTCTGTGGGATTCTGAGAGCTGTAGTCTAAACATACATCATTTCCAAACTCCCCAAAATGTGTGACAGCACAGCCTCACTATATATCTCTAGATCTGCTCTGTACCTGGATGGGAGCACTCCTTTTAGAGATGGCCTATGTAACACCAAGCCAGACTGCTGGTCTATCTAGTATTGTCTGTGGGGAACCCTTAGCTCCCTAGAGGTTTTGAACTTGGACTCCCATCATAGCACCATGGGTGATTATGGGAATGGCAATCCAAGCATGCTGGGCCATCACCTAAGCTACCCCACCTTTGGCCTATGCTGGCTGGCATAAATGCTGCAATGTTTCACATAAAGATTTGTAATTGGAAACCAAGAGTTTCAGCAGGCAAAGCCCATATATTACGCCAGAGCGACAGCCATTTCTTGGCAACCTCACTTATTACACATTGAGTTCCCCGTTATCACTGAAGAAAACAAAGGCAGGCTTTAAAAACAACAAAAAGGTAAAAAAAAATAAAGTAAGCAAAATTGTTCGCCAATATGCACACCCAATGTGGTTTAGCAGATGGAGTGACTGACTGGGACCCAGCAGACCTGAATTAAAAATCTCTTCAGCCATGGAACTCAGGGGTGGGCAAATGCTGGTAAAACCATTCCGTACATATATCATTTACTTTGAACACCCTATTAGATTTGCTATAAGATGAGCGTAAATTGATGGCAAAGAGCACACAAAGACATGTCCAGCTCCAAGCAAAGATGGGAAAATTTTTTATTTTCTTGGACTAAATCCCTCAGAATCCCACAACCCTAGTGACACTGACCTAGTGATATTCTAAGAAACGTAGTTCAAAAAACAAGTGTTCCCTATTTCTGATCTCAGGTTAACAATTACTAATACAGTTGATTTATGTATAGCTCCGTTCTTTCGGTGTCTGGCAGCAGAGAGCCAGAAGTTGGGAGTTCAGTTCCCACTGCGCATTCCCAGAAGAACCAGCTTGTATGGCCTTGGGCAAAGTTGCACAGTCCCAGGGCCCCCAAGGAAGAAGGGAATGAACATCTGAGCATTCTCCAGCTAAAAAACCCTGGAAAGGGTCGCCATAACTCAGAATTGACTTGACGGCACACAGTTAGTAAGGTAAAGGTTCCCCTTGACATTTAGTCCAGTCATGTCCGACTCTAGGCTGTGGTGCTCATCCCAATTTCCAAGCCATAGAGCCAGCGTTTTGTCCGTAGACAGTTTCTGTGGCCACGTGGCCAGCGCGACTAGACACGGAACCAAGGTGGTACCTATTTATCTACTCGCATTTACATGCTTTTGAACTGTTGGTCAGTAGGAGCTGGGACAAGCGATGGGAGCTACTATTATATAATGATAGTAGTCGTTCTTCCCCAGGACACAAGAGGGCACCCTGAACTTCAGTGAAAGCTTAGGACGCCAAAGGTTGCAGCAGGTGAGAGGAATTTTCCAAGGCAGCAAGTTAAAAAAGGAGAAGGAGAAACTTGGCAAACTGTAGAGAAGGATGAATCGCTGCCAGCTTCTTCCCCTCACAGCCGTTCCATATGTCCTTCACTGAAAGGGCAGTTGGGTGCTGGGAGGTTTGTACTGTATAGCGGCACGTGTTGTGGGCAGACAGACTCCAGAGTAGCTCTGGAGCTCCCTGCTTTTTTACCCCCTTGCACTGAGATTTAAAAAGCAATACACAATAACACCCCCAAACCTGAATTGTGGGCTCCTGTCTGACCCCAGTGAGAATTACAATGGAGGCCTGGGTTTTGTGGTCAGGGCTGTCTTCTTGTAATTTCTTCCCTCCTGCTAAGAACGTCAACATCCCATCCCACCATATCAAAGGATGTTACTCCTATTTTTTCTGCCTTAGAGTTTGCCAAAGAAGGGACATGAGGTTATTGGCGCTTTTCTCCCCCCTGCAATATATGAAAAAGGGCAGAGGCAGTCACCACCACAACATCCAATAGCAGAAAGCAACCAATTTGGGAGAATATATTTTTTTGTCCTAGCTTTTGTTTATGTGTCCATTTCCTTTTTAATAGCTGAGCCAGCCTGGGTGGCCTTGGGCAAGCTGCAAAGTTCTAGGGCGCCCCCAGAAGAAGAGAAGGGTAAACCACTTCTGAGCACTCTGTACCTAGAAAACCCAGAAAAAGGTTCACCAGAAGTGACTTGGTGGCACATGGTTATTATTATCCTTAAGGGCAAAGGCTATACACAAAACAGGTTGCTAAAACTTTGGGGTGGTGTTTACAGCTCTTCAAGTGACCATACCAGATAATGCAAATGCTGGGGGACTATGTGGATTCTGCAGTAAGCCATGGTTCAAGAGGAGTGAAATCTCCCATCCAGGTGCATGAGTGTTTCGTCTTTTTTAAGGAATAGCACAAGAGGAGCAAAAAAAAACCTTACCATTTTCCACCACCACTGATTTGCCCTTCTTGTCCGGCTCAGCAGCCCGTGATTTCAGGCCCTGACAAAGCAACAAGAGGGAACCTTTAAGATGAACTGGATCAAGCCTCTATCGTTAACAGGAGTCTGGGTTTCAACACACCGCCCCCGGACTTCACAAAGTGCCATATTCACCTCTTTCCCTGTGAGATAAACTGTGAGAAAAGCTTCACCCACTTCTGTCATGAGGAGCGGAAACTGAATGAGCAAGAGGGACGATCATAATTCCAGCTGAGAACGGCGCCCAGACAACTTCAAGCCACAGAAGCTTCCATCTGAGCAGTTAACATATGCTTAGCTTTACACTCAGCTGGAACCCTAATACACAGAATTTCAAGTGCCTTGAAAGCTTTTTTTCCCCCAGGGTTTGACTGCCAAAAGGTGAGATGTAATGCACCCCTTTATGATTAATTAGAGGCAACTCAAGTAGAAGAGGCCATCAAGACGAACATCTGAAGTAGGCCAACTGAGGATGCTAAGCCTGAGAGAGGCCTGGAGGTAGAAGAAGAGAAACTGGGCCTTCTCGGTGTTGGCTCCTCAGTGGTGGAATGAACTCCCTCCTGCAATTCGTCCAGCCCTTTTACTAGTGTCACGGGGATCTTCTGTAGCCAGGGGGGCGCTGGTGGTAAAGGCGGGACTCGGAGGCCCATCGTCTTCTTTAACATAACCACGTTTATTAACAAGTGAACTTAACGCATCAGAATCAAAAGGGTCTTGCAAACATTCTTCAGGTAATAAACGATATTTCTTGGGGCGTACTGATAACGGGTCTTCAAAACCTTCTAATAGGGTGCCGGTCCGAACTGTTCCCGGTCTGTCATGGGCCGGAGGGGGGCACTCCGTGCCACAGCACGGATGCCTCGCCCAATCCCCCTCGAGGGGTTTCTGCTGAAATTCTGGCCCAGGACGGATAACTCTCCTTCCCCCAGGGTAGTTCCGCGGATGGACTGTTACAGTTCATTCTAAGGGCTCGTACTTAACTCCTCTCCCTCCAGGAAAAAAGGGATCTGGGAGCAGTCCTCCTCCGGTGGCTAAGTTCGGAAAACCCGCGGTATTTTCCGGTACAGCTCCTATTCCGAGCATGGGCTCAGTCTGCACCCCTCGGTTCACCAACCTGTCCGGGTTTGTGTCTGTCCAAACGCTAAAAACGCACGCGCTTTCCCCCCCTTTATCTCTTCCCACATTATAAGGTCCACCTCCTCTCCCCCTTCGTCAGCAAGACACACCTCCGTAGACCTTCTCTCTACCACATCCTCCTGTTCTATCTCAATTAACACCCCTTCTATGCATCCTTTCTCTTCCTTGGTAATTTCATTTGTGGAGGACGGCACACTCCTTGCCTCTCCTTCACAAGCATAAACAGACACTTGTTTTCTCTGGGAAGGAAATGAGCACACTCTCAGCACTTAATGATTTATCCTCTTCTAATTAAACGGTGTCTATAAAGTCTACTTTTTGCTTTTAGTCAATTGGTAAGATTAGCTTCTCATATCTAGTGCTGCCTCAGAGGCAGATCCCCACAGCAAGACAGGGGAACCCAGAAGCCTACAATGTACACAGACCAAAGAGATAACTTACATCATTCTCATCCAGGATAACCATAATGGCTGTTGATGATAAGGGTTTGCCACCAGAAAATAGGCATAACCTATTGTAAGAGAAACATGGGCCCCAACAACTGGTTGATGAACAACAGATAAGAAAGCAGAAACGTCACTTGGCTACAGGAAGTAGCTTTTATGAGGTCTGTGACCTAGGCAAACAGATGTCAGCAATTCAGAGCAATTGAATTGGGTGAAAAAGCTTGCTTATCACA